GACCAAAATATGATTAACAGAAATTTGAAGGTCTAAACAGTAATAAAAAAGCATAACCAAGATCGGAAATATTACAAAATACAGGTACTGGAAATGAAAAAACCCCATAACTAATAAAGGACTAAAATAGAATAAAAGTAAAACATACATGAAAAATTCAGGGTTTAACCCAAAATACAGAATAATGATCAAAATGTAAGTGTAACAAAATTCAAAGCTTAAAGTAAATTATGCAAAAATTCCATTTGATGACTAAAATGAAAAGAATACAAGATCAGCAGCAAAAAACTAAACAGATAAACAAATATACTATAAAGAAAATAGGACTAAAACGAAATACTAGATAGATACATAGCCCAAAATGAAAAGATAAAATTTCATTAAAATGATCATATTACAACCATAACAGAACTATAAGGATCTAAACTGTGATTTTCCCCAGAAAATGAAAAAACACAGGTAATATAACAAAAGGAAAATGACTAACAAGCAATTTTCCCTTTTTATCAAAACACGCTGATATCCCTCCCTTTGAAACAATGTCGTTTTGGTTGTGTAATATAAGCCCAAAACGGGCATTTCATCTCTTCATTCCCTCATTTCTCTTTATCTCACAAAACAGAGAAGAAAGAGAGATTCATAAATCTCTCAACCTCCCATCGTTGGGGAGAAGGAGCTACGGCGGAGCTCGAGGTGGCAAACGGCGGCGCACGACGACGCTAGCGGTCGGAGAAGCACAACCGACCCCAAACGAATCCTCAAATCAAAACTCAAACCCTTTTAGCCTAAAAACCACCCTAGCCTTGTAGATCTAGAGATTACCTTACGGAAAAATGAAGCCTCCGACGACCCTCTGGCATCTCTTTGACGAGCTTGACACTCAATAAGTTTTCTCTCCCATTTCTCTTTGTTTTTTTGCTTTTTCAAAACCCCGAATATTTTCTTCTTCTTTTTCTCTTTCTTTTATTTTTTTTCTCCCCCAAAACTCGAATGGTCCCTCTGATTTCCCTTTTTTCTTTTTATGTTTCTTTTTTATTGGTGACTTCTCCTTCAGTGAATAATAGCCTGGTAGGTAATCATATCCTAGATTTCTAGGATAAGATTTTATTTTTGATTTTTGTCTGTTGTGTTGATGTTGATTGACTTTTGGTCACTGTAGATTGAAACAGGCAGGATGACACTGGCGACGAGGATTTCTGGTGGCGTCGTACGCGAGCGAGTCTTAGGGTTGGCGCGTGCATCACACGCTCGTCAGATCGGACGGGTCTAGGTCTGGTCTTGGGCTGGATTTCAGGCCTCGGGTCTGGGCTCTAGTTGCGTTGGCAGCTTGTATCTGGGTTGGATCTGTAATGGGCTTCGGTGAATTGGTAGAAACGATTGTATATCGATGTCACAAGATGACAATGTAGAAACGAACACATAATTTCACATTAGAGGGAGTAATTTTATAAAATCTCAAGGGACGACGAATTTATAAAACTCTAAAAGAAGACAAAAATGTATTTTCAATTGAAAATAAAAAAAATTATCTAAAATATATTAAATTTTAAAAATTTCAGAAGGCTATTGCTCCACCTGTTTTCCTCTCTCAGTTGATCCCTAATGGAATGTATCTATTCAGCTACGAAGATAAAAAGTATCATTTGAAATATAAATAGAATCCTTGACATGGTGAAAATACAGAGAAGATGAGTAAAAACTATTATTATATTGGAATGATCTTACCTGAATACAAAACTATTTAAATAAACAAATAAGATTTTAAACTTAATTAATTTAATTTTTATAAGTTAAATCAATAATTTGATTTCAAAGAGACTTAGATTCAACTTTTTTTAAAATGGTGTATCTTAGAGAAATAAAGTCTTACAAAATGTAGACATTAATTAGAGAAAACTATATCGATTTATAGACACATCAATACTACTAAATATGTAATAATATATTGGGTAAACTATACGTTTAGTACATAAATTATCAGTTTTAGTATGTTTTAAAACATAAACTTTTATGTTTTTCAAAATCATACCTAAACTTGAGTTTTTATTTTATTTTAGTACTCCACCATTAAAAATTTGAGTTTTTGTTTCATTTTAGTGATTCGTTCAAAATTTAAAGTTAAATTTTGAAAAAAATTGAAAGTTTAAATACTAAAACGGATCAAACTAATAGTTTAAGTATTAAACTCGTTATATTTTTCCTTCGCTTTTGTTCTCAAGATGTTGAATTATCTCCAAGCTTTTGTTGGGAGTATCGATTGTTCTCTATTCCATATGGATGTTGGATCAGTGGAACCATCACGTCCCGATTTCTCCGTTTCCTTTAGCGCCCCACTGGACTCTTCTGTTTCGGATTCGATGCTCTTCAATTCGGGACCAGAGATTGGAGCTCAAGGAGATAGGGTTTTCGATGGTTTAACTATCGGGTTGGTCTCCGGCTTGGATAACGATGTCGGATTGAACTTGAGCTCCGTTGAACTACCTACTCCCTGGTACTTTCTCTATATAGTAATTTTTCTCTTTTTATTTTGTGATCGATTGTTTTATAAGCGATTGAAGTGAACACTGCATTAAATGCTAATCAAATTTCTTGAAAGCAAAAAAGGACGGAATTTAAATAATTGTGAAGGGGTTTTGACAGGACAGGATAATAATCTCACTTTAATACTTATACCTTAGAATCTTTGATCATGCGATTTAATGATTTATACTTTGGTGAAGTCCCTTAAGCTTTCCAATGAACCATGCCATGCATCAAAATTGCTTGCTCGATCGTAATTTTGTCTTTTCTTTTGTTTATTTTACTCTTAATACTTGGTCAGTAATTTTAATACGTCAAATTTATTGTTAAGTGTCTCTAAAATTAAGCTGTAAGCACTTGTTAAGTTGTTCTTTAACTTGATCAAACTGCCAGTATACACTTCTCAAAATTGTTCTGATTCTAATAGAAGCTGCTTCGATCGCTTTTATTGCAATTGACCGTAGGTCGGAGAAGGTATATTTTTCTTCTTGGTGCATTGGGTTTAGCATGAGATGATATGGTTTTGATCATGTTCAGATTATCATTTTCAACTAAATACTGTATTCTATGACAGGATCTTCCATTTGACCCAACCGGAGAACTTGATAACTTCCGATCTTTCGTCGAAGAGAACGTAAGTATATGTAAATGGGTTGGCCTCGGTGTGGTCATCATTCAAGTATATTTTCTAGCCCTTGTTTTCATGCAGTTTATGACATAGTTTGTTCTAAATTAATTGATTGCTATTATTATGCCCTTCGAAAGAAAATTCAGTAAATAAAGAAGTACATACTTTTTTATCTGTTGCACTGCATCAGATTAAGGTTCTACTGAAATTCATTTTATGATGCAATGATCTTCTGACCATGTTTTGCAGTTTTTGTTCTTGTTTTTATTATGAAATAAAATATCAGATCCCCCCAAATATCCAGTAAATCTTCTGGTTTCTTTACTCTAATCAATATTCCTTCAATGTTTCAGGCATTAGCTTTGCTTGTGGCAATGATTTTGCAGTCAGTGGTTTCTGCTAGAAGAAGAGACATCGAAGAGGAAGAGGAAGAGGAAGATGATTATGAAAGTGTCAGAGTTAGAACTTGGGAGCCACACCTGAACCCTCAGTCTAGCCACTCATATACGTCGGCCAAGGGTGATGGCAGGGGAACACAATCTAGCATGCGGGGCTCACAAATAAGAGAAAAGGTATCCTGACATTCATTGCCGGCATGCTAGTTATATCGGATGGTTCGGTCTTTGTTTTTTCAGTTTATTCTATATGATGTGAATTTCATTATGCGGTATCTAATTCTAGATTGAATGATGATCACTGGCATGCTACGCCCGTGTTTTTAGTAATCTATTGAAGTATTTGGTGATAATGTGGCAAATTATCGTCCTGACTCACTGCCATTCAACACTGCATGACCATGTGGAATCTTAGTAGCAAATGACTAATGGTTGAATACGTTTGCAGTTTGTAATTATACATGTGATTCCTTGTATCTTTCGTGTGATATTGTAGTTGTTTCCTAAATCATACCATTGAATTTTGTATTGCAGTTCGGATCGCAGAGTGGCAATAAATATAATTCCCTAAAATAGAACCCATCTGCAAGTATGAAGTCGAAGTAGAACGATGATCGAAGAGGCCACTCCTCTCGCAGGCAGCAGCAGTATCATTCGTATTTTAAACCGGACAAGTACGTAGCGCTCCTCTCTCTATAAACTTTTCGCTTTTCCGGACTAGGTTTGATGTTGTGTATAGGTCTTTGGACTGTGTATATTACTTCGTAATCATGTTTATTAAACGATTATTGTCATTGAATCCGGTGACGCAGATATTCTGTTTTAACTGAGAAGGTCGTTGTTTGGTCGAATACTGTGTTATTATTGTGTCATTTGAACTGATTTGTTTGAGTGAATGCTGTATACTTTAAAATATTAATATTAAAATTAATTTTAACTGTATTAATATTAATATTTTTATTTAAATTGAAATAAATAGATTATTATTTTCAGCTCAAATTGAAAAAAAATTATCTGGGTTCATTTCTTTTTGATACAACTATTTATATTCAACCCATTAGTTTATTAATTTGTATTACATAATGTTAAAATTTGTTATGATATTGACCTTTTTAATTAATTTATTTCATTCCTAAAATAAAAAATATGGAATATTGAATTAATGTGTAAATGATATTCTTGTAAATTATATTAGTAATTTACCTTTTTTTGACAAATAATTTACCCTATTTTTAAAATCGTTCAAAGAAATATAAAAACATAAGGCAAAATTTTAATCACATTATCCAAATGAAAGAGAAATGGTGCATAGGTGGCAGCTTCCTATTGGATAAAAACCCAAGAAAAATCCATTTACTCAAGGTCAGATGACTCATTGATGAAAGAAAAATCCAATTAATTGAAGATCTCTCAATCTTTGTTCTTTCATTTGCTTGAACCAATTGTAACAGTTCCATCAGTTCAAAATGGCGAGTTGCGGCAGCGGAATGGGCATGGCGTCGGCTGCATCAGGGCTGTTGTTAACACCCAATGCGACGGCCAGTGCAAAGACCAACACTAACATGCTCTTTTTCCCTTCCAAAATCAACAACAATCTAAGGCTGGTCGTGACTGTGGCATCAGTAGGTGGTGAAGCACCTAAGCCGAAGCCACCACCCATCGGACCAAAAAGAGAAGCCAAGGTTAGCTTCCACCCTATAATGCAACAATCTAAGCGTAAATGATATGTATAGTATGAATATATTTAATTATGTGTATTTTATACAATTAATATCTTAATTTTCTGTTGTTAAAATAATGGAACAATCTTAAGGGTTTTTTTATTATTCAAATATCACTAAAAACAACACAAAGTTAACGGCTTTTCTCTAATATATATCAAATTAGCACCCATTCTGAAATCAAGTAAGGAGGCTCATGGCGTTGTGAGAGACGTGCCTTGCATACATGGCAGGGAAGTGCGTTTTGAGAGGTGAGCTTTCCCCGGGTTTCAGTTGAGGTGGCACGACAGCTGAGAGGCGCATCTTACAGGGCAAACTTTTCGAATTAAGTCTACTTTCGATTATAGGGATAGAGTTTTCGGAACCAATTTAAGGTTTTTTAAGGTTAAAACCCTAAACCATAACCCAAATAACTAAACCCTTATCGGAAATAATGAACCCTATACGCTAAAGTGTAAACCCTTAATAGTCAATGTTAAACCTTATAAACCGCAGATATTAACTTTAAAATCTTAATCCTAAAGCGTAATCTTTCAACCCTAAAACAAAAATCATAATTTATAAAACTAAAACTTTAAAATATTAATCTAAATTGTAGAATGTAAACACTAATTAAAATAAAATATACAAAATCTTTAATATTTATATGAAAAAATATAAAATAAAATTACATAAAATAGAAGATCAAAAAAATACAATACCAGACTTTAAAGTAGCATAAATTCAAATATTAGAAAATACGATTACTTAATTATGGTCAACGGTTGGGAGATGATAAAAGAGATGAACATTTTTTTTCTATTATGATCTAGGTTTCTACAATATTCGCATCTTTTAGGTTATTTTGATGTCTATTGAATATTCATATCACAATGAATTCAAGTGGATTTTGGACGAACATAGTTCCCTTAATAAAAACGGATCTGATATAATTGTAAGGTAAGTTTGAATCTCATTTGGGTATTTTTCATTACTTATGGGGAAACTCAAATTCATATACCTTGAATACTTATGAAAGCTAGTAGACGAGATTAACATAACTTTTATAGTCCAAATGGGAATGTGTGTAACCTGATATGACATGAGAGCATGAATACTTTAGAGTTTGAAAAAAATCACATTCAAACCACCTTTCTTGTAGATTCATTTTGAAAGAGTTAGATTCAATCTCTTGAAGAGGTCGTGACATCTCCGTCACACGAATAATTCATGGGTGCGCGAAAAATTTGTTGCCAACATTTCATTTGATGCTCTAATTTTTTTCTGTAGATCTGCTACTAATCTTGTGTGATAAACATGGTTGTTTTACACCCAAGTAAGAGTTTGTCCTCCGAGTTTTGCACAAAACTTACCCAAATGAAAATAAATTATTTTAACCAAAGTAGTTACAAGTAAATGATGCGCATCCTTTAAGGTTGAATTGACAACCTCAACTAAGTTGGTTGTCATATGACTATATCAATATCCTCACCATATGCATTTATCCACATTTCTTTGGTGATGGTTCTGATGTAATTGTAACCTTTTGTTATTTTTGCCTTATAACTTTTTAAGCATAAACTTAAACCTTTGAGGTAACATTTCATAACCTAAGTCATATATACTAGTTAGTAACAAATATAAATAAATAAAATAAAAATGACTGAGAAATGAAATTGAAAAAAAAGTAACATACACAGGCTTATAAGTAATTGTTATTCATAATTCTTCTTAAATTTTCATGTTAGTTTGCATCAATATGTCGAATATAATAACAATGTTGGACATGTGAGAGTTTTCACATTCTACCCAAAAAGTCCATTGCTGCTTTAATCTCAGTTCCAAGGTATGAAATGTTGCATATATCTTCCCTCTTGAAAACATGTAAAAACACATTTCTAAGGAAAAATATCAAGACTCTGTATCTTCCCCTTCAACAAGGACAAATGTAACGGGAAAAATATTGCGTTTACAATCTTAAGCAATTTCCAATAATAAAACTTGTTTGTATTCTCCATACAATTTGGACCATCGGTTTGTAGTATTTCACCGTATTAATGCACTATCGGTAAGTCTAAAAAAATGATAGAATTGACATTTATCTCGGACCACTCTATCATTCTAATATGCTTGATGAGTTTTGAACTAAACTATTATCCCATGATTGAGTATTTGCATTACATTAAACCAACTCGATAGCTCAACATAAGAAGAATCTCACTCGCCGTGAAGTTTTATAATGACATTTTATTTTGCTTTCCATGCTTTTTTGTAGGAGATGATGTAGCCATATTGTGATTGTATAACAAAAATCAACATTGCAATAACTATATGAGAGCTTACTTTTACCATGTGCATGATGGCTTGACAAATAATGTTAGAATCCAGGTTAGGATGGTTAATCCCTCTTACACAACATGTATGAGGAATATTGTATCTTGTTAGTTCCCATATGTTTTTCTTCATCTTCCTTTTTGATACACGGACCATCCAATTACATTTGTTATCACGTTAGATATAATGACAAATATGCTTTTCATTGGTGAATCTTTTGACTCTAGAGTGAACTAAATTATGAGTATTGTAATTATTAGTTATAATCATTGCTTCGTCTTTGGATGAGAACTCCATTATAATATATAACTCATCATCATTGAATTTTGAGTTAAATTCATAGTCTCCAATATTATGCATATCTAGAAATTTTGGCTCGTATATTGCGTCAAAGTTCATTTCATACATACGTGTTGAAGGTTCATTTTGTATCATATTTATGGGAACTTCATCCGTACCATCATCAAAGTCCATGTTAAATTGAAGTGATTCTACTTTACTGAATAATCATATCTCATCACCATCCACACATGAATCATAAAGTGAATCTTCTAGTGGAGATGAATAATCATCTATCTCATTTGTGGATGTTAATCCAATGTTCAGGTAAAACAAGTTGGTAGATGAATGTATTCACCTTGAACTTGAATACATAGTGTCATATGGGATCGGAACAAATTATTGTGTTGATGTAATTTTGATGCTGAGGTCGAAAAAGTTGGTAGAAAAATATTTTCCCCTTGAACTTTAAGTCATATTGTATTATGGTTTTGAACGGACTATTGTGTCAATGGAATTTCGATGTTAAGGTTAAAGAAGTTGGTAGATAAATGCCTTCCCCTGAACTTGAGGGGATGTTTCTATATGGATTATTGGTGGATCCACCTCGGTAGAGATTGTAAGTAGTAGCTGATGAATCCTTCCCCCTGAACTTGAGGGGATATTTCCATATGGATTATTGGTGGACCCACATCGGTAGAGATCATAAGTAGTAGTTGATGAATTCCTCCCCATTGAACTTGATGGCATGCCACAAAGTGAATTTAACATTAATGATGTGAAATCATTGTAGAAAATTTGAGTTAGGATGTCAACTGGATCAACTTGCTGAACTAACCTATAGTGAGAGCATAATGACATACCATGAACCCCACTCACTTAAAAAATTTTAGCATACATCTATGTAATAGCTTCTGAATTTTCATTTTGATAATCAACCATCACAACAACATCATCATCATTGGAAAGATCAAATGTTGTATATATTAATGGAAAAAGTTCAATAAGAAATTTGTATTGAAGTGAATATAGTCTTATAGTACTTCCAACATAAACTTTCATGGAATTTTTGTGATTAACTCCTCAAGAGTGATGTTTCTTTTCAATGTTATAGGGATATAATGCTCTGATTCGAAAACAACTCATATTTTGGACTGAAGAATTTGACCATCATACTAAACAAAAAATACGACCCATTTTTTAAGAGATAAGAGCGAGAGTTTCAGAGTTTAAGAATTTGAGAGTGTAAGTATTAAATGAATAGAAAACATATAATGTTCCACTTTTTTTCATGTCAACACCTCTCATGTTTGATGGGATGAGACGCTATGACATAACAAAGATTCTTTGCAAATGGTGAAAGTATTTCTTGTAGGACGAGCTTTCACTTTTTTTTTTCCAGTGATACTCTGTATTTTTCAATCAATTTTATGCACATATGATGTTCCCCTTTGGGAACTATTTATGTCAACACCTTCCATGTTTTATGGTATGAGACACTATGGCATGACAGAGATTGCTAGCGACTTCTATAGGACAAGTATTCCCTTTTTTCATAGATTTTTTTGTTTTTTTTTTCAATCAATTATATGTACATATGATGTTCCCTTTGGGGAACTATTTATCACAATAACTCACATGTTTGATGGGATTAGACATTATGACATTGCATATATTCCCTGCAAAAGGTGAAAGCGCTTCCTGTAGGAAGAACCTTACTTTTTTTGTCAGAGATTCTCTGTATTTTTAGGCAATTATGTGTAATATGATATTTCCTTTCAGGGAACTATTCATCACAACAACTCAATATATATTAGTTTTGAGTTGTGGTCCTCATTGCTTCATTTGTATAATAGTGTTTTCCAAGTATTATGTCAATATTGATGTCGACTGTCATATTTTGAACCAAACCTCTACGATGGGTGTGATTGAAGCAACTTATGTGTTGGGTATACAATTGCTTTACATTGAAAGGATGTTGCAACAAGGATATCAAGTGTTATATACTATTCATCCAATACATCTCATGATGAAGCAAAAAGAGCTTATGCATTATGGAACCGTCACTATGTCTACTAATGCCAAAATTATATCAATTTATACGTTGAAAAGATTCCGCAAACATATTAATCTTGTGATGAAATGTTTAAAGGTTGTTTTTATTATTTTTAATATATTTTTTATTAATTGGACTAATTTAAACTAGACCTTATCTTTAGGATTTTAAGATCACATTATCTTAATGTTTCACACTTATCGTATCACATATTACATTAAGGAGAAAAAAATAACACATATTACACATTACATTAAATGAGTTATCCATCTACATACCTATGGAGATTAAAACAACAAACATTAAATAAAAT